CCACATATCTGAAATTCTGGGCCCTCTGAGTGGGTACAACTTTTCATTTAAAATGGATATTGACATAGTATATTGAAAATACAATGTAGGAATTCATCTGTGTGGCCCAACCAACTGGACTCCATGTAGGTCTCCACTGTCCCCTCTTTTCCTTGAACCCCTGATGCAAGGGTTCAGGGCTCACCTTGGGGTGGGCAGGCAGCAGCAGCAGCAGCAGCAGCTGCACAGTGCTCTCAGTGCATGGGAAATTTGCTTCCTCACCAGCTTCCAGACCCTGAATGGCCTGGATCCAGATGTTGTGGGTGCCACCTGGGGCTGGTCACTGGGAATGTCTGACCCCTGGGATGAATCTTCTTCACAGAAGCCCAGGTTCAGAAATCCCGTGGGTGTAGCCTCCAAGACTGATTCAGGAGAGGAGAGATTGCCAGGCAGGGGATCAACAGAATTCCTCTTGACTTCAGTATCCTCTGTAGCAGTGTTGATGACGTCAGCCATAAGAGCATCTCTTTCTGGGACTGTGTTGTCTGAACCGGGCATCGCCTCCAGGAAGGAGAGTCTGTGAGGCATGGTGTAGCTTCTACATCCTTTACCTCTTTCTTCCACACCCTCCACCTTAACGTGACTCTTCCCAGTTTGTGTACCGGTTGTAAATGCTGGTTCACTGGCTCTCCTCGTCAAGGGGAGAGGGAGGCGAACAGGACCTGGAGGGCTTCTAGTTAACCAGGGCATCTGATCTTGCTTTTGGCTGTCCCCACCACTCAGCTGATATTTGAGAATGTTGCAAGTAGCCGTTACATGATTATCTTCTCGCCTGTGAGTTAGGGATGAAATAATCTCCTCACAGGTATAGCCGATGGTGCACATGGTCTCCACGACCCTGGGCAGGATTTCTTTGGTGGCAGGCAGTACATGTTCTTGAATGGGGCCTAGCCATGGTCGTTCCACAAGCTGACAGATTGTGAATCGGTACCAGATAGGGACCATGAGTAGTCGGGCAATGATGATGTGACAGGGTTTTGACAGATGGTAAGGAATGGGACACATGGTGGTAGTGATAACCCTGTGCATACCTTCAAGGGTTTCTTCCATGTATGGGAAGTGCCCTGTGACTAAGACATATAGAACGATACCCAAGCTCCACATATCACCTGCCAGTCCATCATAGGGTTTTCTTGCCAAGATCTCTGGGGCCCAATAGAGCAAGGAGCCACAGATCTCCTCCAACATCTGCCCCTCTGTGATTTCAATTGCCAT